TCTGCTAGAGTTTTCACCTGGCTCCAAGTCTGCCCATACGCTTTCAATTCTTCTTCACATGATCTCCTCCAGGTCACCCTTGAACGACCAACTCGTCGCTTCCCTTTCGGGTTCAACTCGAGCGACGGCTTGTCTAGTGATGTCACTTGCTGGTTTCCTCAGAGTGTGGCCAATCCATCTCCATTTATTCCTGCCTATTTGTTTCACAATTGGTTCCTGGTTGGTTGGCTCCCAGAGATCTTTGTTGCTGATCCTTTCCGGCCATCTGATCTTGAGTATTGAGCGAAGACATCTGTTAATGAAGGTCTGTAGCTTGTTTGAGGTGCTCTTTGTGACACGCCAAGTCTCTGATCCGTATAGTAGCACTGACTGACTTCACATTGGAGTTGAAAATCCAGATCTTATTTTTGACGCTGAATGCTGTTGACCTCCACACAGACTTGACAGTAATGAAAGCTTGCCTTGCTTTCCCGATCCTTGCTTTGATATTCTCGTCAGTTCCGCCTGTAGTTGAAACAATGCTTCCCAAGTAGGTAAAGGAGGTAGTTTCTTTCAGGTTCCTCCCATTTATGCTGATTGTTGTCTGTTTTAGTTGTTGTTGCTGTTGGTGGTGTTGCCCAGGAATCTTCATCACCTCTGTTTTCTCTATGTTCACCTGGAGTCCTATCTTTGATGCTTCTTCTGCCAACTTGTTACTTTTCACTTGCATATCTTCCAGTTTGTGGGAAATCAGACATATATCATCGGCGAAGTCCAGATTCTCCAAGTTTTTTGTGTGAGTCTATTTTATGCCCGTTTCCTCATTGCCCAATTTTTGTCGCATTATCCAATCTACTGCAATCAGGAAAATCATTGGCGATAGTAGGCAGCCTTGTCTTACTCCTGTCCTCACTTCGAAGGATTCCGTAAGTTTCCCTTGTTGTGGATTACTTGGCATGCAGCGTTGTCATACAACTGTTGGATGAGATGTATAATTGTCAGTGGCACCCCGTGGTAGCGAAGTAGCTGCCAAATCATCTCTCGATCGACGCTGTCGAAGGCCTTTTCAAAGACGATGAAGTTGAGATAGAGGGGTGACTGCCATTCCAAAATTTGATCAATGATGATCCGTAGTGTGGTGATTTGATCAATACATGACTTGTTTCTCCTGAATCCAGCTTGTTCCGGTCGAAGTTTTTCATCCAGGGCTTGTTTGATTCTCTCCAGGACGATGCCGCTTAGTATTTTGCTTGGGATGGACAGGAGCATAATTCCGCGCCAGTTCTTGCATTGACTTAAGTCTCCTTTCTTTGGTAGTTTGAATAAGTATCCTTCCTTCCAATCCTCGGGTACTTTGCCTTCTTTCCACACCTTCTCCAGTAGTGGCGTCATCAAGTCCGCTGTTGTCTCTGGGTCCACTTTCAATGCCTCTGCTGGGATTCCATCTGGTCCTGCTGCTTTTCCAGCTTTTAGCATCTTGATTGCCTTCAGGACTTCTGTTCTTCTCGGGGGATTGGTGTTCACTGGTAATTCTGCTTCCGTTGTTGGTATTGTTGGGCGCGTTGTAGGTGGTGGTCGATTTAGGAGTCTTTTGAAGTGTTCAGCCCACTGTTTCCTTTGCTCCACTTCTTTGGTGAGTGACTTTCCATTGTCATCCTTCACTGGCTTAATTTGTGACGAATTTTTGCCTGAGAGGTACCTAGTTGTTTGGTAGAGTGTTGCGAGGTCTCCTTTGCCTGCTGCTTGTTCTGCTTCATTGGCCATGGCTTCATAATACTTTCTTTTGTCTTCTCTGGCACTCTTCTTTACTCCTTTGTTCAGTGTATTGTAGCTTGCATTCAACTCCTGTTTCTGTTGCTCGTCGGTGCACTGGATAATCTTTTGTTTCACCATCCTTCTTTCTTCTATTAGCCTCCAAGTGTCCGTAGTGAGCCACGGTTTGTCCTGTCTCTTCTTTCTGTCCAGAACTTCCATGCAGGTTTCGCTCCATACCGCTTTCAGGTTGTCCCAGTGTTTTTCGACGCTGACCTCTTCGCTAATGTTGATTTGTGTCTCAGCTTTGTCTTTTATGCTTGCAGTAAAGATATTCTTTGTATCCTGGTCCTTTAGTTTTTGAGTGTTGAACTTGGCTTGTGGTCTATCTGCAGCTCCTGTTTCTCTGAAAGCTTTTAACTTAAGTTGAATTGTTCCTTGTACGAGGTAGTGGTCTGAGCCAACGTCTGCTCCTCTTCTTGCTTTTGTGTCCAGTAGGCTGCGCCGCCACTTCCTCGAGATTGTGATGAAGTCAATTTGGTTTTTGGTTCGCCCATCTGGTGACACCCATGTAGCCTTGTGGATATCCTTGTGTTTGTATACGCTGCCACCAATCGCTAGTTCATTGAAGGCGCAGAAGTCGGCGAAGAGTTCTCCATTTTCATTTATCTCTCCCAGAGCTTCTTTACCCATGATGAGTTCCCTTCCTGTGTTGTCTGGTCCAAGTTTGGCGTTCATGTCTCCCATTAGTATTTTACTGTCACCAGCTGGAGTATTGCCCATTGCTGCCTGTAGTTGTGTGTAGAATTCTTCTTTCTTTTCGAGGTCTGCGTTGTTTGTGGGTGCATAGCACTGTATAATTGACACTTTTCTTCCTTTGGAGTTGAATCTGGCGGTCATTATTCTGGGTGAGATCGCCTCCCATTGTATCAGAGCCTTGGTTGCCGTTGGTGACATCATGATAGCCACGCCCTCAGTGTGTGTGGTTGTCTTCTGGGTGACCGGAGTAAATCACTGACTCACCTGTTGACAATTTGGTGAGTCCGTTTCCGTTCCATCTGCTTTCGCAGGTCCCCAATACTTGTATTCCTTATCTCCTCATTTCGCTTGCGATCTGGGCAGCTTTGCTAGTCTCGTACATGGTGCGGGCATTCCATGCCCCCACACAGACTTTTTCTTTTGACGCAAGGAGATTGTTCACGCTGAAGTTTCTGTAGCATCTTTGTTTACAGGGTGGGGTTGCTGGCCTGGCGCCTGTACTAAACAGAATATAAATGTGTATATACATATTAATCACTCCCTAAGTACCCCACTTGCTTTCTTTTGCGTTGTTGTTGTTTGTCTTCTTTTGTCTCTCACTATTTCAGCTTCCATTTGACTTTTTGAATGAGAATGAAGAATGTAGATATTTGTCCATTTACAATGACAAATGATCTGCAAACATTATTGGTCCCATATCTTACAATTCCCTTGTGAATTGCGCATTGCCTTTACCAACGACGCAACCTGGATTACAGTTGTGAAATATACCTTTATACCAATAAAAAAGTATTGATTTATAATACTTCACGATTGTAACTTACAACATAACTGATCTTGTCTGCAAAAATAGCTCGCATTTCTTGAAAACACCCGTTTGTAAGAAAATATAAACTGTCATTATTATTAGTCTACCTTGAGTACTATTCACTTGTGATGTTACGAAGAAAATGCTGACAAAAGCATACAAGTGTATTGCTTATTTTAAATTGTTATCAAATTTGGATATAAATCAAGAATAAGACTCGATGCCGTACACACCAAAGTTATATGGAGGAATTACTTCAAGCTTTATTTTTTTTCCCAAGTATTTGTAATCCATCCAAAACATACTTGGATTTTTTTTTGTTAATGCAAAGACAATATTTCTATCTTTTTTGATGTGTTCCATTGAATGACTTGTTATCATATTGTTCCCATAGACAAAATGACTGCAACCTTATAATTTTACCATGAACCAAATTAATGTAATTTAAATAATACTTATCCATGCCTGTAAATTGGTGTGTCCTACACAGGTAGGAAAAAATGTATTTTATTAAATTACTTTTATTAAATATGCTTACTAATCGTATATGTAATTTATCATATTAATAATAATAATAATATTGATGATGCCTGTAAACTGGCGTCTCTCATGTAAAAAATGAGAATATACTATTATTATTAAAAAATAAAAATCATTATAGATAGAGTACTTAACACTGTTTTCTTTTCTCTCTCTCAGAAAAGCACAGAGGAGTCTATTCCGTGGGACAGGAGGCACAACGTCTATCAGGACTCATTATCAGTAATGAGAATTAGGCTGGTTTATTTGTTGGGCCTTGACCTGCGCTCTCTGATCTCTGAAACTGCGCTGAATACACCCCTTTGTAGAGCTCTCGTTCTGCTTCTCCTCGCCTGTTCCCGGGGAATCGGCCAACTAGTTCTTAGGATAACTCCTCAACCAACAGCCCACATCACGTCAATCACCCCCAATACGGGGACGTGGTGGGACTGACTACCAGTTGCCTGTACAGTAATGTGAGAAGGCTAGGAGGCAAAATAGCTGAACTTAGATGCCTTCAATCACAGCTGAAATCCAAAATCATAGTACTGACGGAAACCTGGCTAACCCCTACGGTGGCAGACAGCGAAGTCAGTATAAATGATATGGTCCTAGTCAGGCGAGATAGGGACCTGAAAGAAGGAGGTGGAGTCGCCATATACGTCAACAAACAACTCAGATGTGTCCATGCAATGGACCCTCCCCTCATTGAGCTCCCTGACTCCATATGGTGCCATTTCACCGTTGGGTACTGTAAATATGTAGAGGGCAGCATTTATAGATCACATTCATGTGGAGCAGACCACAACCAGGTACTGCTGAATACAATTTCAGCGACACAAGACATGGGTTATGATCAAATTGTCATAGCTGGAGACTTCAATGTCCCATCTCTTAACTTGATGACGGGATATGCCCATGATAGATTTGACCGAAATCTGCTGCATACCATCAGGGAGGCCAGATTCACTGAAAATGTCAGAATGGATACTAGATGGGGCCCAGATGGGAAGTCTTCTAGACTGGATTATGTGCTCACGAGTGACCAGCTACTAGTGGAAAACGTTCAGATCACGATTCCCGTAGGTAGTAATGACCACGCGGTCATAACATTCGACAAAGTCCTCCGCGAGCGTTTACAGTGGGACAATACACAGCCCTATGTGTTATAATAATAATTTATATTTTCATATAAACATAAATTTACATGAAAATGCATGCCATTTTTACAGGCACGATCAAGTATGATATAATGACAAATAGTAGACTGTCTACAATTTAATAATGTTTGAACAGCTAAATATTTGATATATATATATAAATACACTCATTGTCTGACCCATGTGGTATCATTATTGAATTAAACAGTAGTCCTCCAGGTTGCGCAGGAAAATCGACTTCGTTTCGTTTTCAACCCGTAGTTGTAGGCATACGATAACCAACCAATATTGAGGTAAGTACAACGTTTACAAGGGATATTAAGATTATCACTTTTTTAAAAAGTTCAAATTGTTGAATTATATAGTACAAGCAATCGGAACAGATTCTTATAATTGTTAATTTGTAAATCTTCCACGAAGGTTTCCATCGAAGTTGAGCGACAACCACGTGCTTGAACGCTATTTCAGGAAGAGAAGAAAATCCTGCACAGCTGCAAAGTGGTATAAAATGCAATCATGAATAATACATTATTGGAAGTATATTTATAAGAAAAATACAACAATAAGCTATACAGTACTTGATGTGATAGTGCACATTTGCAATGTATGATGCTAACCATATTGGTCTTACCGTAGAAAACTATGACGTTTTCTATGAAAATAAAGTTATTCTCAAACATGAGTGCTGTTGTTATGTTTTTTTTGTTTTTTTTACCATCAGAGCAACCGAACTTTATGCGAGAGAAGAGTGTGAATGAGAAAAAAGAAAAACAAAAGAGTAAATTTCAGCTTTACTAAAGGCCTAGGAAGTTGAGATAAAATAGAGTATAATAGTAATTAGGTAGAAGGATTATCGTGAAGTATATAAGTGACATTTTAGAGAGAAGTGGCTAGAAGGATTAGAACCTGTTGAATATGGTGACCTGTAGGATGTCTGGCGAACTTGTGTATGGCCCATGGGATAGCGTCTTGACAAGAAACTGAGCAGGCTTGTAGATGTTAAGAGCGAAAGCATTATATTTTTACAAGCTAAAACTGTACAGTCATTATGGTGTTAGTTTTTTTTTTAAATTTTTTTATAAAGTCAATTTTTTATACTTTCAGTATCATAACTCATGTTTAATTCTCGAGCTGCCAAAATAATGCATGTTGCTGTCCTACAGATCGGAGCGATTCACATTTGTGACCACTACCAAATCTGCTGATCAGCATGCGCCACCCTCCCTCCTTTTTGACATTAAGCTCTGAGGCCTTTTACAATGACTGCAGTTGTAATATAGGATTGCTTCGACTCCGTCCCAATCATACAGTATGCCGCACATTAACAGCTTTCATGACAAGTGCTTCCCATTAGGTCACATGGCACAATAATACCAGAGGACATTGTTAGCAGTATTATCATCATACTAGTGAACAAGTGGATTACTACAAAAGACTAAGAAATTAGGTTTCCCTTAAGAGTTATGAAGGACAAAAATAGCTAATATTAGAGCAACTAAGTTATATTCTATTTAGCAGTGATATGAGTAGTGGAACAATTAGTGATAAAGTTATGTAAAGTGGTCCTGCGTAAGCCAACTGGTTAGCAGAACTTGTTATGCTAAATTTTCACGACCGATTTTATATGGTGAGCGTTACACATTGCAAAGTGACTCATCAATTACATAATGGAAAAATATTACATAATTTCAACAATATGAATTTTTTTAGAAAATTATATGAAGATGGGTAACTGTTGACTGAAGATAGTCATTTCAACCCAAAAATAGTACTACTAATATTAATAATATATTTAGTATTTTGCTCGGGATGGACAGGAGCATAATTCCGCGCCAGTTCTTGCATTGACTTAAGTCTCCTTTCTTTGGTAGTTTGAATAAGTATCCTTCCTTCCAATCCTCGGGTACTTTGCCTTCTTTCCACACCTTCTCCAGTAGTGGCGTCATCAAGTCCGCTGTTGTCTCTGGGTCCACTTTCAATGCCTCTGCTGGGATTCCATCTGGTCCTGCTGCTTTTCCAGCTTTTAGCATCTTGATTGCCTTCAGGACTTCTGTTCTTCTCGGGGGATTGATGTTCACTGGTAATTCTGCTTCCGTTGTTGGTATTGTTGGGCGCGTTGTAGGTGGTGGTCGATTTAGGAGTCTTTTGAAGTGTTCAGCCCACTGTTTCCTTTGCTCCACTTCTTTGGTGAGTGACTTTCCATTGTCATCCTTCACTGGCTTAATTTGTGACGAATTTTTGCCTGAGAGGTACCTAGTTGTTTGGTAGAGTGTTGCGAGGTCTCCTTTGCCTGCTGCTTGTTCTGCTTCATTGGCCATGGCTTCATAATACTTTCTTTTGTCTTCTCTGGCACTCTTCTTTACTCCTTTGTTCAGTGTATTGTAGCTTGCATTCAACTCCTGTTTCTGTTGCTCGTCGGTGCACTGGATAATCTTTTGTTTCACCATCCTTCTTTCTTCTATTAGCCTCCAAGTGTCCGTAGTGAGCCACGGTTTGTCCTGTCTCTTCTTTCTGTCCAGAACTTCCATGCAGGTTTCGCTCCATACCGCTTTCAGGTTGTCCCAGTGTTTTTCGACGCTGACCTCTTCGCTAATGTTGATTTGTGTCTCAGCTTTGTCTTTTATGCTTGCAGTAAAGATATTCTTTGTATCCTGGTCCTTTAGTTTTTGAGTGTTGAACTTGGCTTGTGGTCTATCTGCAGCTCCTGTTTCTCTGAAAGCTTTTAACTTAAGTTGAATTGTTCCTTGTACGAGGTAGTGGTCTGAGCCAACGTCTGCTCCTCTTCTTGCTTTTGTGTCCAGTAGGCTGCGCCGCCACTTCCTCGAGATTGTGATGAAGTCAATTTGGTTTTTGGTTCGCCCATCTGGTGACACCCATGTAGCCTTGTGGATATCCTTGTGTTTGTATACGCTGCCACCAATCGCTAGTTCATTGAAGGCGCAGAAGTCGGCGAAGAGTTCTCCATTTTCATTTATCTCTCCCAGAGCTTCTTTACCCATGATGAGTTCCCTTCCTGTGTTGTCTGGTCCAAGTTTGGCGTTCACGTCTCCCATTAGTATTTTACTGTCACCAGCTGGAGTATTGCCCATTGCTGCCTGTAGTTGTGTGTAGAATTCTTCTTTCTTTTCGAGGTCTGCGTTGTTTGTGGGTGCATAGCACTGTATAATTGACACTTTTCTTCCTTTGGAGTTGAATCTGGCGGTCATTATTCTGGGTGAGATCGCCTCCCATTGTATCAGAGCCTTGGTTGCCGTTGGTGACATCATGATAGCCACGCCCTCAGTGTGTGTGGTTGTCTTCTGGGTGACCGGAGTAAATCACTGACTCACCTGTTGACAATTTGGTGAGTCCGTTTCCGTTCCATCTGCTTTCGCAGGTCCCCAATACTTGTATTCCTTATCTCCTCATTTCGCTTGCGATCTGGGCAGCTTTGCTAGTCTCGTACATGGTGCGGGCATTCCATGCCCCCACACAGACTTTTTCTTTTGACGCAAGGAGATTGTTCACGCTGAAGTTTCTGTAGCATCTTTGTTTACAGGGTGGGGTTGCTGGCCTGGCGCCTGTACTAAACAGAATATAAATGTGTATATACATATTAATCACTCCCTAAGTACCCCACTTGCTTTCTTTTGCGTTGTTGTTGTTTGTCTTCTTTTGTCTCTCACTATTTCAGCTTCCATTTGACTTTTTGAATGAGAATGAAGAATGTAGATATTTGTCCATTTACAATGACAAATGATCTGCAAACATTATTGGTCCCATATCTTACAATTCCCTTGTGAATTGCGCATTGCCTTTACCAACGACGCAACCTGGATTACAGTTGTGAAATATACCTTTATACCAATAAAAAAGTATTGATTTATAATACTTCACGATTGTAACTTACAACATAACTGATCTTGTCTGCAAAAATAGCTCGCATTTCTTGAAAACACCCGTTTGTAAGAAAATATAAACTGTCATTATTATTAGTCTACCTTGAGTACTATTCACTTGTGATGTTACGAAGAAAATGCTGACAAAAGCATACAAGTGTATTGCTTATTTTAAATTGTTATCAAATTTGGATATAAATCAAGAATAAGACTCGATGCCGTACACACCAAAGTTATATGGAGGAATTACTTCAAGCTTTATTTTTTTTCCCAAGTATTTGTAATCCATCCAAAACATACTTGGATTTTTTTTTGTTAATGCAAAGACAATATTTCTATCTTTTTTGATGTGTTCCATTGAATGACTTGTTATCATATTGTTCCCATAGACAAAATGACTGCAACCTTATAATTTTACCATGAACCAAATTAATGTAATTTAAATAATACTTATCCATGCCTGTAAATTGGTGTGTCCTACACAGGTAGGAAAAAATGTATTTTATTAAATTACTTTTATTAAATATGCTTACTAATCGTATATGTAATTTATCATATTAATAATAATAATAATATTGATGATGCCTGTAAACTGGCGTCTCTCATGTAAAAAATGAGAATATACTATTATTATTAAAAAATAAAAATCATTATAGATAGAGTACTTAACACTGTTTTCTTTTCTCTCTCTCAGAAAAGCACAGAGGAGTCTATTCCGTGGGACAGGAGGCACAACGTCTATCAGGACTCATTATCAGTAATGAGAATTAGGCTGGTTTATTTGTTGGGCCTTGACCTGCGCTCTCTGATCTCTGAAACTGCGCTGAATACACCCCTTTGTAGAGCTCTCGTTCTGCTTCTCCTCGCCTGTTCCCGGGGAATCGGCCAACTAGTTCTTAGGATAACTCCTCAACCAACAGCCCACATCACGTCAATCACCCCCAATACGGGGACGTGGTGGGACTGACTACCAGTTGCCTGTACAGTAATGTGAGAAGGCTAGGAGGCAAAATAGCTGAACTTAGATGCCTTCAATCACAGCTGAAATCCAAAATCATAGTACTGACGGAAACCTGGCTAACCCCTACGGTGGCAGACAGCGAAGTCAGTATAAATGATATGGTCCTAGTCAGGCGAGATAGGGACCTGAAAGAAGGAGGTGGAGTCGCCATATACGTCAACAAACAACTCAGATGTGTCCATGCAATGGACCCTCCCCTCATTGAGCTCCCTGACTCCATATGGTGCCATTTCACCGTTGGGTACTGTAAATATGTAGAGGGCAGCATTTATAGATCACATTCATGTGGAGCAGACCACAACCAGGTACTGCTGAATACAATTTCAGCGACACAAGACATGGGTTATGATCAAATTGTCATAGCTGGAGACTTCAATGTCCCATCTCTTAACTTGATGACGGGATATGCCCATGATAGATTTGACCGAAATCTGCTGCATACCATCAGGGAGGCCAGATTCACTGAAAATGTCAGAATGGATACTAGATGGGGCCCAGATGGGAAGTCTTCTAGACTGGATTATGTGCTCACGAGTGACCAGCTACTAGTGGAAAACGTTCAGATCACGATTCCCGTAGGTAGTAATGACCACGCGGTCATAACATTCGACAAAGTCCTCCGCGAGCGTTTACAGTGGGACAATACACAGCCCTATGTGTTATAATAATAATTTATATTTTCATATAAACATAAATTTACATGAAAATGCATGCCATTTTTACAGGCACGATCAAGTATGATATAATGACAAATAGTAGATTGTCTACAAGTTAATAATGTTTGAACAGCTAAATATTTGATATATATATATATAAATACACTCATTGTCTGACCCATGTGGTATCATTATTGAATTAAACAGTAGTCCTCCAGGTTGCGCAGGAAAATCGACTTCGTTTCGTTTTCAACCCGTAGTTGTAGGCATACGATAACCAACCAATATTGAGGTAAGTACAACGTTTACAAGGGATATTAAGATTATCACTTTTTTAAAAAGTTCAAATTGTTGAATTATATAGTACAAGCAATCGGAACAGATTCTTATAATTGTTAATTTGTAAATCTTCCACGAAGGTTTCCATCGAAGTTGAGCGACAACCACGTGCTTGAACGCTATTTCAGGAAGAGAAGAAAATCCTGCACAGCTGCAAAGTGGTATAAAATGCAATCATGAATAATACATTATTGGAAGTATATTTATAAGAAAAATACAACAATAAGCTATACAGTACTTGATGTGATAGTGCACATTTGCAATGTATGATGCTAACCATATTGGTCTTACCGTAGAAAACTATGACGTTTTCTATGAAAATAAAGTTATTCTCAAACATGAGTGCTGTTGTTATGTTTTTTTTGTTTTTTTTACCATCAGAGCAACCGAACTTTATGCGAGAGAAGAGTGTGAATGAGAAAAAAGAAAAACAAAAGAGTAAATTTCAGCTTTACTAAAGGCCTAGGAAGTTGAGATAAAATAGAGTATAATAGTAATTAGGTAGAAGGATTATCGTGAAGTATATAAGTGACATTTTAGAGAGAAGTGGCTAGAAGGATTAGAACCTGTTGAATATGGTGACCTGTAGGATGTCTGGCGAACTTGTGTATGGCCCATGGGATAGCGTCTTGACAAGAAACTGAGCAGGCTTGTAGATGTTAAGAGCGAAAGCATTATATTTTTACAAGCTAAAACTGTACAGTCATTATGGTGTTAGTTTTTTTTTAAATTTTTTTATAAAGTCAATTTTTTATACTTTCAGTATCATAACTCATGTTTAATTCTCGAGCTGCCAAAATAATGCATGTTGCTGTCCTACAGATCGGAGCGATTCACATTTGTGACCACTACCAAATCTGCTGATCAGCATGCGCCACCCTCCCTCCTTTTTGACATTAAGCTCTGAGGCCTTTTACAATGACTGCAGTTGTAATATAGGATTGCTTCGACTCCGTCCCAATCATACAGTATGCCGCACATTAACAGCTTTCATGACAAGTGCTTCCCATTAGGTCACATGGCACAATAATACCAGAGGACATTGTTAGCAGTATTATCATCATACTAGTGAACAAGTGGATTACTACAAAAGACTAAGAAATTAGGTTTCCCTTAAGAGTTATGAAGGACAAAAATAGCTAATATTAGAGCAACTAAGTTATATTCTATTTAGCAGTGATATGAGTAGTGGAACAATTAGTGATAAAGTTATGTAAAGTGGTCCTGCGTAAGCCAACTGGTTAGCAGAACTTGTTATGCTAAATTTTCACGACCGATTTTATATGGTGTGCGTTACACATTGCAAAGTGACTCATCAATTACATAATGGAAAAATATTACATAATTTCAACAATATGAATTTTTTTAGAAAATTATATGAAGATGGGTAACTGTTGACTGAAGATAGTCATTTCAACCCAAAAATAGTACTACTAATATTAATAATATATTTGTAGCAGACGCCTAGGAAATTGTGTTTAAGAACTATGAAGTATAGAAATAGCTAGTATTACGGCAACCAAGTTGAAGTCTATTTAGCAGAGTAAAAAGTGTAGTGGAACAATTAGTGATAAGATTATTTTTAATGATCCTGAAGAAAACAGCCGGTTAACAGAGCTAGTTATGCTAAATTTTCATGACCGATTTTCATACGGTGCGCATTAGATATTGCAAAGTAACCCTTCAACTTATATAATGTTAAAAAATACTGCGAAATATTATAAAGATTATACGTTTTAGGAGGGTGTATGAGAAAAGGTGGTTATTGGCTGAGTAAAGTCATTCAGACACAAAAAATAGCATTGTATTATTAACTGTATATACATATGTAAAATATTAAAAGATGTGGTTGCTAATATAGTTGTTTCTAGAAGTACTTATATTAACATAACTTACTGAAGACTATACACAAAGGAAAATCAGTAAATTAGTTAAACGTTCGCTGCGTAAGTAGTAGAGTCGAGTTATATGTAACTGACTGAGCTGAAGACTGGACCAGCTTTTACTTACCATTTTACCAACATTTGTGGTCTTTTAGACAAGCTAGGGTGGACATGTTAATGTGTCTCTCTAGGCTCCGTTTGAACCCATTGGGGTTTTCACAACATCTAATTTCAGATGGTAGTTGGTTCCAAAGAGTGCAATATTTAATGGTGAAAAAGTTTGCCCTAATGGATTTTCTGTGGGTAGCCACCTTGACAAGGTAGTTGTGGTTTCGCAGCTGATATGATTTAATATTTTCCCACGTTATGGATGAGTTACCATAACAGTGTTTTCTTATGACTTTGAATAGTAGAAACAAGTTGCACTTCACTCTCCTTAACCACAGAGGTTCTAAATTCAGACGCATACACCTAATAATAATAATAGTATATTCTCATTTTTCTTTACATGAGGGACGCCAGTTTACAGGCATCATCAGTTCGATAAATTACACATACGATTAGTAAGTATAGTTAGTAATGATAATATAATAGGGTACATATTTATTCATACAAATATGGGACACAAAAGTTGTATAGGAATGGATAAGAAATATTTAAGTTACATATTTAAATTACATGATTTACGGTTAAATAACATGGTTGTTGTCATTTTATCTTTAGTTTGTGGGGAAAATCGGATGACTGGTGATTCAATGGAACACACCAACAAATATAGAGATACTGACTTCGCATTAACAAAAAAACCCACGTATGTGTTGGATGGATTACATATACTTGGGAAAATAAATAAAGCTTGAAGTCAATTCCCTCATATAACAATAAAATGCGTCTTACAATAATATATTCCCACTTTATGCACTTGAGGGACTCCAGTTGACAGGCATCATCAATATCATAATAATGCACACATGGAGTAAACATGTTTAAAATTTTTCACTAACACAAAATATATGTACAAGGGAAGATGATGAAATATTGACCGTAAGTACACTCTGCATAAGTTAAAACAGTTTATATGGCATAATCCTAGGCACAATTATTGTTTGAATTTGTTGAACATGAGCGCAACAACTGAGTGTTGCGTTACATTCGGTCGATAGGGTGGGCTAGTCACAAAAGTATAAAAATGGCTTATAAAACGTTACTCAGTTTACCGTAAACGATGTTTTAAGCAATATAAACTGCAAAAGGCTCACCACAGCAGTTAGTATCCAGTTAAACATGCAGAGAAGTAATTATAATTCAGCAACTGGTGAATTTTTTATTCTTTTCGGTCTGGAACCTGAGTAACTGCGAACCAATCCATACAAAAATGTCGAAAGAGGCATGCAGGAGCAGAATTTTGCCATCGAATGAGTCATTGGGATCTGAGATGCAGCTATCAGCATATTTTCGTCATTTCATAGATATCCAGATTTATTGACGCTGTATAGGTAGTGATTTGGATTTGTCATCATGATCGACATATGGATGAATATTCAAATATGTACTACAACTTGTTTTCCTTTTGGATTTAGTTAATTACATCACGTGTTGGGTTTGATTACTCTGCGATTTTGATATATTCCGCGGTGTCGCCATGATGATGGGAAGTGTGCATATGCTTTAAATGCACTACTTTGTTGGCTGCAATCTCCACTGAGTGTATACAACGGGAACTGTGGATTTATGTATTTCCTCATCACTGTGGATAAAGTATCGCCGCATTCCTTTTGGAAAGGAGATCAGTTGGTGGATTATAAATAATATCCAAGTAACTTATATCCTTCCATGTGATGTTGTGGTAAGTCTCGACCTTGTTTTCTCATATTTCATTCGTATGTTGATTATGGTTCAGGCTTTGTATCAGGTAGACATAATTCGATCGACTCTTATTTGTATGGGTGTTATTTTCATGACTGCTGCTTTTTTGTCTGAAATTATAGATAACGGCAAAAGAAACAACAGGTGTAGTCTCTAAGTTCATACATTTAATGGGCCTATAATTTCTGAAGCTCTTACATGGGAATGAGCACTGGTATCACTTGCAAACCCACTTAGTGTGTCATTAAGAGCTTTTTCAAAGGACACCAGTGAGCTTGCTAGTCGCATCTCCTCAGGTAGTTTATTCCATATTTGGGCATACCTAATCATGAAAAATTTTTGCCTGGTGGCTGTTTTACATTGTTCTATAGCCACCGTACCTTTAGTGTGTCTAAGGTTATATCCAGTGTCTTCTGGAAACCGAGTACAATTAGTAGGGGTATACACTATGTGGTTAAGTAGTTTATAGAAGAGTACCAGATTTAGTCGCAGTCGTCTTAACCATAATGTTTCTAGTCCTAGAATTTCACATCTGGTAGAGTAGTTTGTGCCGTTTTCGGTTCCGATTACTTTCAGCGTGAAGTACCTCTGTACTCCTTCTACTTTTAGTTTGTCTTCTATGCGTATACTACTAAATATGAATGAACAATAGTCTAGGAGTGGGCGCACACAAACCGTGTACAGTAGTATTCTGGATTCACTTCTGTAGAAGTTCCTGAGTAGGAAACCAATAAGCCTGCGTGATTTCGATACTTGTTTCGAGATATGTTCAGAAAATGATAGATTGTGTGAATATGTCAGTCCTAGGTCTAGCACAGATTTGAGTCTAGGGATTTTGTGGCCCTGAATTGCTAGGTCGAGTTCTAGGTTAGGACAGCCTATGTAGAGCCAGCCACACTTTTCGACATTAAACTCAAGTCTCCAGGTGTCACACCATATATCCATTTTTGTTAATTCTTCATGTATGGAGTTCATAGTTGTACCGATATCTGTGTTTGTGCAGGTATATTTCACCTTTAAGTCATCTGCATACAGTATTGGCTTGCCTATACTAAAGCACTCACATATACTGTTTATGTATATAATGAAAAGAAGGGGTCCCAATACACTCCCCTGGATGACACCACTGCTAATCGGCCTAGGCCTGGAGGTCATCGAGCCAATTTTTGTTGTCTGATTTCTGTCACTGAGAAATGATTTTATCCAGTTGTGGAGGGGGTTGCGTATCCCTAGTGAGCATAGCCTGCTGACTAACAGACTATGTGGGACTCTGTCGAAGGCTTTCCTGATATCGAAATAGAGGATAATTACTAGTTCTCTCCTATCTCTTCTATAGGTGACTTCGTTGAAAAAGTCTATATGGCAAGTGACGCAAGATCTTTTTTCAAGGAATCCGTGTTGCGACTGGTTGATGAGTTTGTGTTTTAGAAAGTAGTCTGACATTTGGTCTTTGATTACTTTCTCCATGATCCTTGATATGACAGGTGTTATATTGATAGGCCTATAATTACATGCACTAGTTTTGGCCCCTCCTTTATGCTTAGGTAGTATATACGTGTTTTTCCAAGTTTCAGGGTAGGTTCCAGTCACTAGTGAGAGGGTGAATATTCTAAGTAATAGTACTATCATATCCGAGCCACCGTTTTTGTAAATGATAGATGGTATATCATCTGTCCCACAACTACCGTTAGCTTTTAGTGTCTTTACCGCTGATGCTATATTTTGCATATTAAAGTTGATTTCACCTAACTCGTAGTTATTCTTGCAGGTTATATCGAGGATTGGAGACGGATGCGCTTTGGTGTTATTGGAGAACCATTGGTTTAGGAGTTCACAAATAATCTGGGGATCATCATAAATTATACCTTCATGCTCCAAGTGGCCAACATTATTTTCTTTACCCTTGTTTAGTCGTTTTTGCAAGATCTTGCAGAGTTCCTGAGTTTTAGAGGTGCCCCCTAGGGCTTTATTTTCCTCGAGTTGTGCCTTCATTTTATGTCTCTGCTCAAGATTTTTAAATGTTTCATGTATCTGGTGTAATGCACTAAATTCTTTATATAAATAAAATTTCCTTTTCAATTTCCTTAGTTTTAATCGCGTTTTGCGGTCTATGAAAAGAGTTGGTGTCCTTAAAGCAGACTTTAGGGGTGCGATTGTATCTCTTACCGAACTGACCGTCTTGTAGAAGGTATCAAGTGTTACTTCTAAGTTATCATTGGTAAAGTATTCATCCCAGCCAGAGCTTCTCAAGAGCGTTGGAAGGAATTCCCAGTCGGCATTTCTATAGTCCCTATATTGATAGTGAACCGGGGAATTTTTAGGTGTGTGTTTAGTTGTTAGTTGAAGAGGTAGGGTGCAGTACAGTATGTTGTGATCACTGTTGTCGAGTTTATCCCCCAACTCTATCGAGATCGGCTCTATTTTGTGGCAGAGGACTAAGTCGAGAATATTGTTATGTCGTGTTGGGAGGCGTACACACTGCTTTCATCCTCCTACGTCTATAGCTTTTAGGAGCTCGTCATAGATTCTAGGTCCAGTGCAGGTATCCCAGTTCGCCACAAATTATTTTGTAGTCGAATTCCAGGGTAGGTACATGCTCCAGTATTTCTGCGATAACCGTATCAGTCGTTTTAGGGCTGCTGGGGGCTCTGTATATACATCCCACTAGAATTTTATTTTCATTTGTGTTGATGCTTATCCACTTAGATTCTGGGAGTTTGTCGATAGTTAGGTTTGTAAAAGTATTGGAGTCAGTAGATTTAGAAGCATATATTAGACACCCGCCTCCTCTTTTGTCCACTCTATCATTCCTGTGGATGTCATAGTTATCAATTATCAGCTTTGTGTCAGATATATCATTAGTTAGCCAAGTTTCAGTTACCAGGATCAGTGTTGGCCGTTTCATGTATACCAAGCTGCGAAGGGAAGTTATTTTGTTAAGGAGAGATCGAGCAATTAAGAGCATAATTTTTAGAAAACCAGTTTTGTTGGGAGGGTAATTAGTGGGTTTTCTTGTTACTATCCCTAACTGCTGGTTGCCTATGTTATGTTCGGAGGGATTCTCAGATGAGACATTGTCAGCGTGTCTACTATTCCCTGAACAAACTGTGCTGCAAGAGGGGCTATTGTTTGCTGCAATCGAAAATAATCCTGTTGCATATATTGGTTTCTGGCCTCATTACGTGGGTATCTGGAATCATTCCTTGACATTAGATAATCTGTTTCACTGTTCAGATTGTTATTTACAGGGCCGAAATAACCTGTTTCTAGGTTGTTTTGAGGGTAGTGCGTGCTAAGTCTTTCGCAGTTGTACATTTGTGGACTCATTTCGTGCATGTACATAGAAGGACCGTGATTCAATCTATACCCGTTATGCTGATGGGGCTTTACGTAGCTACTACGAGGGTTCGAGTATGCATTTCCATCCATATGGTACCTAGTGGTGTCCCGTCTAGTAGCCCATGTGTTTTGATTATTTATTCTGGGTCCCGTTTTCAGGTTATATGAGCCCATAGGCATATTACAACCTCGGCTATTACGGAAATCGTGGGTCTGACCCTGTTGTTTAATCAGCTCGGCTCCTCTTGCGTGTCTGCTAGAGTGTGATTTTGTGTGGATAGAGCTATTTTTGCTGTTAGTTTTGACCTCGTATAGTCTGTCATCCACAGTTTGTCTACCACCCTTAGTTCGACGAAGAGCACTTCCACCCTCGTGTTCCGTCTCCTTTATGGGACCTGCCGTAATGCGTGCATAGCTCTTTTTTAGGCTTACATGCTGCTTGTTGGGCTTGTCACAAGGGAGATATGTGGACGCCTGTGGAGAGACCTTAGTTTTAGGGGACTTCTTTTCAGCTTTTACAGGGAGATTACCTTGCTTGGCCCTGGGTGCAGTGTTATCTGCCGATATGTGTAGGTCATCTGTCACACAAGCATCTATGTCTACCTCATGTGCAGGGTCGGTAGCTTTCCTAAGAGTGTTCTCAAGAACTTCGAGACTCATTCCAGTGTTACTGCCCTTTTTGGGTTTCCCTTCACCTTCGCGTGTCGCTTGTTCACCTAGTACAATGCATGTGTCACTTTGTGCTTCAGTGTCCTTCGATACTTCGGCACTGATGCTATTCATGATTTGTGGTATAATCGTCTTCGTATCTAAGGTATTTTTAGCTACTTGTCGTTGGTTGGGGGTTTTGTCCGAGACTATTTTAACATTTTTGAATTTCGTTGTGGAGGCCAAAGTATCCCCAGATTTCCTAAATTGTTCGGCTATTATACAGCTGTCAAACCTGGAAAGTATGGGACATGTGCGGTTTAACTCTTTTTTATTTAGTCTGATACACTGACAGGGTGTACTTAAGAGGATTGCAGCCCTTAACAAGGAGTGCTGAACCGACTTTATGGGCTCATTGTCAGGTATGTTGTACACTATGGCGTTCTGTTTAGAAGCAAGTCTCTTAACAACTTCGCTCGATAGATAGTCCATAGCGTTATCTAGCTCCTTAGCATGTTCCATTTCAGCATCGGTTGGCTTAGTCTTCAATTTAAACAGTTTTAGGAAAGTGAGATCTCCCAGTTCTTTTTTAAGATGGAAGATTGTTTCTGGTACCGGGTCAAGTAGATTTAGTTTCGTCCTAAGGTCATTTATTTGTAGCTGCATGTCGTTTATGATGGAGACTAAGTTAGTAATCTCTGCCTTTGCTGACAGGATATCTTCCACCTGTATTACAGGGGTTAGCATTATGTTGGAACTATTTGTATTGGGTGAACTACTAATTATAGCTGATTTTAGGGGTGATAATGCGTTACTAGATAAGCTTAAGCTATTTTCTAAATTACTACAGTTCCTAAGAATACGCTTGTTAGAGTTTTTGCCCATTATTATTTGTGATAATATAGCAGAACTGAAAAATGAATATCAGCGAAAACACGTGCAAAAGTGTCACCAAATTCGAACGTACCGCGAGGTCAACATATTCCACCGGTTGGACAAACCCTATTATGCGTTTCGTTAGGAATCTGTGAACACTTTCGATTTTTTTCGGTCTGCAGACCTTAGGTTACTATACAGGAGAGCACAATATTCAAGTTTGGGGCGGATACATGTTCTATATATATAGCTAATCTTGCTTCTTGGGTGTAGAAGTTACGCAGTAGAAAGCCAATAAGTCGTTTACAGTCAGATACAGCCTTATTTGCGTGATCGGAGAAGGTTAGATCTGAGTATGTTATCCCGAGATCTGTGACAGTGTTCAGTTTCGAGAGGAGCTTACCGTACATATATAGGCACATTCTCGGTTTCCAGCGTCCCAGGTGGGCTATACCGCATTTGCCTGGGTTGAAAGTCAGTTGCCACTTTTCGCTCCAATCGCCTAGATTGTTTAAGTCATGTTGGATTTTGCTTTCGACGCTCATATCATCGTACCCATAATCATATACTATCTTGAGATCATCTGCAAAGAGGTATGGCTTGCCATACTTGATCACAGAGACTATGTCATTTATAAATAGGAGGAATAGAATAGGGCCAAGAACGCTTGTTGCTGCTATATTTTGACTGAACTAGAGTACACGTATCTTCTAGTATTTCTTCGCGTTTATAATTGTGCCCTAACGTTGCGATTACTCGACATCCGCAACGTAATTCAAAAGGCACTTGCGAAGGAATACGATAGTGTATTATTGCAGCAATCAAGATTCAAAAATCGAGCGAGTACAAAAGTATCAATTGTTAACATGCAAGATTTAGAGTAATAAACAAATCAAGGTACAATTACATAGTGAAAGTATACTGTGATGATGAGTAATAAAACGGGTCACTACACGCTACCCTGTATTACACCACTAGTTGTCGGCTTTGATGGAGACAGTTGGTGGTTGATTTTGACTAATTGCTCTCTTTCTGTGAGAAAAGAATTTATCCATTTGAGAAGTTTCCCGGTTATTCCGTAGGATTGGAGTTTTGTTATGAGTCTGATATGTGGGACTTTATCGAAGGCCTTGCTAACGTCGAGGAATAATGTTGTTACCGAATGCCCATTATCAATGCATTGCGTAATGCAGTCAAAATAATCTAAGTTTACAGTTTACAATTTATTTAGGATAGTAGGCTATATGCCTGTGTTAATCCTTTCGATTTGTTACACACAGTAGGTCCAATCTCGCCTTGAATGAATCAACGGATGCCGCTGACACGACGTGTTCCGGTAGGGAGTTCCAATGGTTCACAATTCGATGCGAAAAACGGATCTCCAGACGCAGACGATTCGACCGTGGTTTTTGAACCTTGAGGTGATGTCCTCGCAATTGGTTGGTGCTAGAAGGAAGAAATAAATTAGATAAATTTGCTCCAAAATCATTTCTTAGGATACGGTATGCTAGTATTAGGTCACCTCTAAGTCGTCTGTATGACAGTGGAAATAAACCCAGTCGACTTAACCTCTCTTCATATGAGAGGGTTGAGAAACCCTTTATTAGCTTAGCTCCTACTCTTTGCACCCTTTCTAATAAGTCCATTTCGTATTTGAAACACGGGCTCGCTGCCTGGATCCCATATTCCAAATGAGGTCTGATATAAATCGGATATAATATACGAAATATATCAGCGTCAAAGTTCGCAAAAACCTTGCGTATGGCCCATAATATTCGAAAACCCTTAGTGGCTGCAGCTCTACAGTTTGTTGCCGTTTTCAGGTCATGCTGCACAACCACTCCCAAGTCCTTGTACTCAGTGACCACTGGGAGAGTAATGCCATTCATTGAGTAATTGTGCACGTGACTATGAGACACATGCATAACTACACTCTTGCTTAAGTTAATCTCCAAGGCCCAGTACTTACACCAATCACTTAACAAGTTTAAATCTCCCTGCAAAGCAAGTTGATCACTGTCATCGTGTGAAGCCCTCCATATCTTGATGTCATCAGCAAACAGTAAGCAGGATGACCTAACTACCGATGGAATCTCATTAACATAAATCAGGAAAAGAAGTGGGCCTAGAATTGTACCCTGAGGAACGCCACTCTTAACCGATTCCCATGCTGATAAAACCCCGTCAACTCGTACTCTTCGTCTTCTGTCCTTTAGAAAGTCTTGAATCCAGTTGGCAACCACTTTATTGATTCCCAGACTACCTAACTTTACTAGAAGA